CCCCCCAGTCCCACCTGCCACCCCGGCCCCCGGATCCCCCTCCCCGTGCAATAAAACATCTCGCCCCGGGCCACCGTGTCTCCTGGGGACGGTGGCCCTGCCGTCCCCCGTGCCGGGGGTCCCCTGGGAGCCCATCCTTTGCGAGGGGGGCTGTTCCTTGTGTTGGGGACGTGCCAGCTCCATGGGGACACCAGGAGCCACGCGGGGGTGCAAAACACAGGCTGAACGGAGCTGCCTCCCTCCCTGGGGCCGCTGCAGATGGACAGACGGACGAGATCCCCTCGTTTGGTCATTTATTTGGCCGGAGCGAGCGGCGGAGCGTGGGGGACCCGCTGTCCCCTCAGTCCTCCTTCTCGTCCCCGTGGGTGATGATGTAGCACAGGGACTTGTAGTCGATGTTCCCCGAGACGTCGATGGGCGTCATCGCGAACATCTGCTCCACCTGCGTGGGGACACGCACCCGCGGGGCTGGGACGGGTCCCTGCGGGTGCCACGTGGGGATCACAGGGACTTTGTGGACTGGGTCTATGGGGGACACGTGGGGATCTTGGGGGATCGCAGGGGACACATGGAGATCTTGGGGACAGGGTCCGTGTGGGACACATGGAGATCTTGAGGACAGGGTCCGTGTGGGACACATGGGGATCTTGGGGACAGGGTCCGTGTGGGACACATGGGGATCTTGGGGACGAGGTCTATGGGGGACACACGGCAATCTTGGGGACAGGGTCCCAGTGGGGCACATGGGATCTCAGGGATGGGGCCACATGGGGCCGGGCACACGGGGACCTTGGGGACAGAGTCTTTGGGGGACACACAGGGATCTGGGGTGGGGGCTGCGTCCCCCTCCCCACGTTTCCCCGTGGGCAGGCAGAGCCGGGCGTCCCGGGCACCTGCTTCCCCTGAGGGTCCTGTTGTCCCCCCTCGTGAGGGGACAGGGTGGGCAGGGGCCAGCGCAGGGGAATGTGACGGTGACAGTGACAGCCGGGGGAGCCACCTCACCTCCTCCGGGGAGAACTTATCTGCCTGGGTCAGGAGGAGCTGCTTAAACCTGCGGGAAGAGGGAACGGCTAAGCCCGGGCTCAGCTCCTGTCCCCGTCCCAGGGGACACAGGGTCCGGCCGGGTGCCCTGCGGGGTCCCGGCTGCCCCCCACTCACTCGTCCTTGTTCACGGTGCCGGTGCCGGCGGGGTCGAAGAGCTTGAAGGCGTTGAGGATGGATTCCTCGGGGTCGGTGCCTGGGGGGCGGAGGTGTTAGGTGGGGTTCGGGGCTGACCCCGGCGGGTGTTGGGGGGTGGCACCCGGGGCCACTCACCGTTCAGCTTCTCCCCAAAGAGCGTCAGGAAGACGGTGAAGTTAATGGGCCCCTTCCCCTCCTTCAGCATCTCCTCCAGCTCCTCGTCTCTCACATTCGTCTTCCCTGGGGGGGACACGGTGACAAGGCCACGTGGCACCGGGCACAGGGGACAGCCTGGCCCTAGGTCTCCTTCAGGTCCGCCTTGGTGATGATTCCGTCCCGGTTCTGGTCGATGCAGCTGAAGGCCTGGAGCAGAGCAGGGGAGTCAGGGGGGGCTGAGCCCTGGCACCCCCCGCCCTGGGACC